AATTATTAATCAATTAAATAAATCCTTAAACATTATTAAAAAATAAAATCGGTGATCGTTGGTTACACAAAAATCTCTGATATTTGATTTTTATATGATACCACATATAGTTTTGATTTATATAGTGCACAGCGCACCCCAATGAGACATCGTTAAAGGTTTTTTTTTTTTATTAATCTGAATTATTGTCCGAATTGTCCGAAGGACATTACGGTGTGTGTGTGTCTGCAAATTACGTATTTTGATTGGTCAACCCGAAATGTCGGACTTCAAATAGTTTCTATTTACCTAGTGTAACTGGATCATGATTATAATGTGAAATTTGCAGATCAGAAACAATAATTTCAACCCGTCTTAGATATTTTTCCGAGCTTAAGTCTGTAAGTTTTGGTCCGATTGGCCCGATGATCACGGGACCGACAAATTTTTGCAATATGTCGCGAGGTATATGATGCGAAAAAAAAATGCTCAAATTATATATAATTTTGAGACTAGTTTGACTGTGAAGTTAACATTGAAATTTCCGGGTCTTTTTGAACGGTCGCTGGGCAGACCGACTCTCATCTAGCATATAAATCTATCTTAAAAATGCAAAAGTTACTTAAAGCAGTTCGAAGGGATGTAAATGTGAGGGTGCACTAAAAAACCCTCCAATTAGATTTGTAACCAGTAAAAATAAATCACGTGAAAAGAATTTTCGCTCATTTATATAACGAAAATTTCAAAATTTAGAACCCCCTCTCTCACGTAATAATAAAAGATGGCACACGATCAAGTTTGGTTCTCTCGCCCTCGTCGCTACGGAAAAGGCTCCCGAGAATGGTAGTTAAATGAATAACTTTTAGTGGCTGTTGAATAAGTAGTGATGACCTAACGTTTATATGCATTTATATTTGCTTAATTGTAAAAAAAAAAAAAATAAGTCGGGTTTGTGCTCACCGAGCCGGTTTGATTCGCAAATACAACCTTAACGTCTGCCGTCAATGCTTCCGTGAATATTCCAAAGATATTGGTTTTATCAAGGTATTAATTAATTGATTAATTGATTGATTGATTGAATAAAGCACAAAAATCATTTCAAAGAATTATTTAATCACATAATTTTTTACTAATAGTATCGTTAATACCGAGGAACCAGTTTTGGAGCTTAATTATTAATTTACTTATTGAGGCGAAATCAATTTCAAAATTGTTAATGCAATGCACCCAAAATTCTTTGAACAAATAACCATTTCGCAATAAAAAAATCTTCTGATTTTTTTTAAAAACAAATTTTAAAATGATCCAATATTATATATTATTATATTTCTCTTGGTATCTACCCCTTCCTCTCTTCTCGCATGGAAGATTCATCGTATTGCGAGATTGTTCGAAGAGATTGATATGTTTTGGACTAAAAAAAAAAAAAACACATGTTAATAGCGGCACTATATCAGTAGATTCAATTTGTTACATACTGAATATTACTACAATTTGGTCCCTGAGGACAAAATCCCGTAATGTACAAAGGGCATATGATACGTCGAATATGTTTGTTTGGACAAACAGGCCCTTAAAAAACAAGATAATCAATTACTTTCAGCATTAATCTCTATAAAATAACATTTATAAAGATTATTAAATACCGCGACTACAAAATCCCCGCATGTAGTCTCCACATCTTCTACGTAGCTTAATCCCTTTATTATTCATCTGGTGGGAGAATACACACATAACTCGACTACATTTTCCATGAGCTGTGACATAAAGAGAAAATCTTTTAGATCCTTTGCTATGGTTTTTTTTTCACCTGATCCAATTTTTTGAATATAATTCATGCCTTTCATCGTAGGACATATAGGCATGTTGTTAAAATCATAAGTATGCAAATATGAACATTGATTACGAAAGCAGATTCCAATTAACCAATGTTTGCAAACAGTTTTTTGACCGTCTTGTTTCTTGTTCCCATCTGTTATATGTGAAAAAACAATCGAATATCATTCTAAAAAAAAATGAACCATTTCAAAAATGATAAAATGATATGATAAATTACTTGTCTTTGGTGTAACTGGTTTAAGAATTTCGTTCGCATAGATAAAAGATTCAAAATCGAAATTTAATGTGCGAAAATTAGAATCAAAAAGATTCGGGGCCATCACAATTAGATTAAATCAAATCAAAAACAAAAAAAAATTCAATGTGCAAGATTTTGAAGTGCAAAAGGAAATATACCTTGGATTCGAAATACACATCTATTTGAGTCATTACGAGACCATGCAAGTATGTAGACTTTAATACTCGTTACGTATAACTAACTGTCAGCACATTTTTTATTTAAAACATTAATCTGAAAATAAAATTTAAAGTCCCCGCATATACTATGCATAATCATTATGCTTCCTTGTTAAATTATATGTTGAGTCCACTTTTTGATCTACAAATCGATATATAAATGTAAATTTTCTATATTTTAAAAAAACATCCCTAAACTCATAGCCATGTCCCAACAAGACGAAGAAAAGTATATCATTACGATCGTTCAACTTTTTTAGATCATTATACGTGTGAGAGCCTTAACAATAATAATATCATTTTATAGGCTACGAGAAGAGCCTATTGACGAACGTATTCAAGAAACTCTTGATAAAATAAAAGATGAGGACGACGAAGAAAAATTGTTTGAAGAATTAGAAAATGAAGACGACTTTGAGATTGCAAACCTTCGCGAACGAAGGATGGAACAAATGAAACAAGAGTATGCGTCTGACAAAATTATAACGATCTATTTCGAACCGATTTATTGGTTTATTTTATTTTTCTATGCGTTCAATGAGCAGAGTAACAAAATTACAAGAAATGCGTCAGAACGAACATGGTTCATACACTGAAATTGCGGAAGAAAAAGAGATTCTTAAGATAACTACCACTACAAAGCTATGTGTTGTACATTTCTTTCATAAAGAATTTCGAAGATGCCAGATTATGGATAAACATCTTACGGTACGTTTTGGCATGTTTCATTAATAAATATCAGATTAATTCTGAATTTCCATTATTATGAATAGACAATCGCAGATCGTCATTTTAAAACAAGATTTATAAAAATAAATGTCGAAAATGCACCTTTTTTGGTTGAAAAACTCGCAATAAAAGTTTTGCCTTGTGTTATATCCTTTATAGACGGAGTTTCTGTAGATAAGTAAGCATTTTACAATTTTACAATTTGAACATGATGTAAAATTCGTTTCTACTGTTTTATTTATACATGTCTTGTTTCTAGGATTATCGGTTTTGATGATCTAGGAAACACTGATTCATTTACAACAGCAGCACTTGAATTTCGATTATCCCAAAGTGGTAATTAAACCTTTTCCTATATAAAATGGTATTATTGGTTATTTTTCTAAGGTTGAACTTTTTGGTCGTATTAGGTGCCATAACAAAACAAGAAGCACCGAAAAAACAAGAACGCAAAACTATATTTGGATTCGCGGATGTGAATAACGATGATGACGATGATTGGGATTAAAAATGCTGTTAGACACTTTGTATCATAGTGATAGAATAATTTAATATTTTATGACTTCATAGAGACGTTACTGTCGATGCTGAAACATATATACAGCATTCTATTTATTAACTCGGTGTGGTGAAAAGATGCCAACATTTAATTTAATAAATACCATTTGAGTGAATTTTTTGAGGTTTTCTCCGGTTATAAATGCGTTAACTTTCATGTAGTCGATTGGCATAAATAAATTAGAGAAAAAGCCAATTATTATTAGAAAATTCCATAACCGGCGTAAGCATGAGCTACATTAGATTTCCATGACACCTGTTACGAAAAAATAATTATCATAAGCCCAGATAAATATCGTGATAACGCGCTTTTGCTTTATTGACTAATAAAAATCTAAAAATCTATCTATACTACTGCAATAGAAATAACTACATATAATGTAGATCACTACATAAATTTTAATTTTTTTACAACTTTAAACAAAGATATCTTGAAAAACCGCCAAACAAAATTTGATAAATTTTTTTATTTTGGTTCTACGAGTATGTTGAATCAAACCAAAAAAAAGTTCAACGAATTTGGTTTGGTGGTTGTCGAGATATCTTCGTCAAATAAATTAAACCAATTCACTTTTTAAAAAATTTTAAACGAAGATATCTCGACAATTACCGAACAAATTCAATGAACTTTTTTTTTATTTTGATTTTACATAATTGTAGAATCAAAATAAAAAAATTTTCATCGAATTTGGTTTGGTGATTGTCGAGATATCTTAACGTCTATTAAATTCAAGACAGTGAAATTTTTTAAAAATTTAAACGAAGATATCTCGACAACCACCAAACCAAATTCGATGAAATTTTTATTTTTGAGTTTACAAGTATGTTGGATCAAAATAAAAAATTCTCATTGGGTTCGTTTTGATGGTTATTGAGATATCTTCTTCAACAAATTAAAACCGTCTATTCAAGCTGTGGTAAAAATTTAAACGAAGATATCTTGACACCCACCAAACTAAATTCGATGAAAATTTTTTTATTTTAATTCTACATTATTGTAGAATTAAAATAAAAAATTTTTTATCGAATTTGGTTTGGTGGGCGTCGAAATACCTTCGTTTAAAGTTTACCAATAAATTAACCGCGTCACACTAGAATTTTTTTTTGAAGATCTGCATTATGTGCAGTTATTTCTATTGGTCAAAATTTTGTGTAAGCAAAAATTTTGGTGTTGTTGAAATTCTCGTGACGCGACGTGTTTTTGCTCTGACTTCAGTTCACAGTTAAGCAGTTAAGTTTAGTTTTTATATTATGTATGTTATCGCAAACCCAATGTTTCCCTGGCTTGTAATTCCACTGGAGGTCGCTCGCTTTGGTGTTGTCGGCGAAATATTATAGCTTTTGGAAGATTCTGGTACTTCCAGCATTTCCCTGGCCTGTAATTCCATTGGAGGTCGCTCGCTCTGGTGTTGTCGGCGAAACGAATGCACCAAAATCATTTGGAATGCATTGATCTTACCATAACTGAAAATAGTTGGGTTGAAAAAAAGGAAATATTCTTTAATAATTATTATGAACTTTTTACTGATCATATAATAATACCATCCAATTCTCTTTGTGTCAATGGCATGTATCATATTTTTTTAATCAATTATTGCTGAATTAATTTATAGTTTTAATTATTATTCCATTTAACTTATAGGATCACGTTTATATCTTAAAAGAGGTTATATCACAGGGGTATACGCCTAGCAAACATTTTAAAATCTAGGATATCAATTTTCTTAAAAAGATCAAGCTGAAAAGGATTTGCGGAAAACATTGAATAAACTTGCTTCTATGAGTGATGAACACTCCAGACCTTTCAAAAATGTGATTGACAAACATTTGGGTTCTTCCGCCGTAGAACAATATTGGATTAGTGCTAAGGTACAGAATGAACAAAACGCAACTCGCGTTAATCAAATAATTGTGGAAGAGAGTATTTACACTTGTGGGTTATAATTGTATTTTACTAATTTTGAATTATTTAGAAACAACATAAATGCCTCGTTGATTCTAATGTTACAACTGAGCATAACATATCAAGTAATCAATTGACATCAGAATTTCAAGAAATAGAGGCAAGTTGACCTAATTGTCTGACAATACAGTAGTTCTCTTTTCTTAATCCTATGTCGATACCATTTATATCATCAGAATGAATGCGTCACACCTATAGTTGTTAGACGAAACTTCGAAGTTTCACGCTGACGAAACGCGAAACTTAGTTTCGTCTTTCGTCAATTAAAATCTTAAATGGCGAAACTGACAAAACTGTAAAGGGTGACAAAGACGAATATACAAATAAATGTTGCTGAAAATCATTGATTTATGTGTATAAAAAAAATAAACTAAAAAATTTTATTGTATAATAGGCGGTTGAATTGTTTAAAGGGAGTTAGAAATGAGTCTTCTATAATGTATGATACTAGTACACTACGTATCAGTTCTAGTGAGAAGTCGCGTGGTGCTTACTTTGTGATCTTACAAATTTATTTTGTGCCAGTATGTTTTTAATTCATTATTTGTGTTATTCCATGAGTAAGTACTATGGCTTTTTGACAAGGTTATTTCAACCGGTCAATAACAACCCTGGCGTTGTCCAGAAAAATGAACCGGTTTATTTTTTGCTGGCATATATGTAACCTCGGATACTGGTCTCTGAATAAATTATGAATGTTAATTCAATGAAAATACCATTTACTATTTGTATTCTTTTAATGTTTTTTTTAGGAGTACTAGGGTCTCGTCTTTTTTGAGCGTAAGGTTTCGTCTTTCGTCAGAAGAATTTGGGGTTTCGTCAGAGGTTTCGTCATCATGTGAAAAAGGCTTCGTCTAACAACTATAGCCACATCTAGAGGTGGGCACCATGTACATGATGCATGTATGCATGCGCATGGTCTAAGCCCATACAAGAATAGTATTTGATAATAAATAACTAGACATTTTTGATGATTTTACCACCAAAATGACCGGCTCGATGAGATAATCCAACGAGCTCAAAATCATCAATATACAATCACCGGATCTCGAGATTATTAAGGGTTTGTATTATTTTAAATACTTAAAATTGGTTAACCCGATTTTAAACATTTGAAATAACACAAAACCTTAACGATCTCGAGATTTGGTAATTGGATCTTAATGATTTTTGGGCTCACCAGGTGGAACAAAAGTTATTTACTGTTGAAAATCATATATATATTTAAACTATTTAGTGCATATAGCATTCATGCATACAGCATACCATGTGCATGCATGGTAGAGAAAAATGCCATTTTGCCCATATCTAGTCACACCTCAAAAAATATGAATGACTTGTGATTTTTATTATAAGATGTTCAAAAGACCAAATACTGTAATGATGGTTATACTTCACCTTCGCCACTCAATGTTATACCAGGAGGATACTCTCTGATTAATAATCCATTTATTGAAGATATTGAAGAAGATAAAGATAATTTAGTAGTTGATGATATTGGTGACCTTTGTTTTGAGAGAAATGAATGCCTATATAATTATAAAATAAGAAACACCAATATATCTCAACTATTCTAACAATATCAAAACAAATCAATTAAAATTTCAAAAAATGGCAGTTTAACTATAGAATCTAATATTTACAAAATCTTGTTTTTACTATCAATTTTTTTGTTAACTCCTGAATTACATTCAAAAAAATGATGATTAAAACATTTGGTTTCCAATTACTTGATAAAATATATCAATAAACCATCATGACTTATAGTGTAGCACTTAACTCAAAATGTGAATCAAAATTTTGAAAAGCAATCAAAAAAGCAAAAATCTCTTGTAAATATGCTATCGATTGGTTTTTCAAAGAATGGCAGGATTTTACATAATAAATGACGTTGCTTGTAGCATGTTATATCCATAATGCTTCTAAATTAATTAGTTAATTAAATAATACTTCATGTGCTCACCTCATGGTTGTTAGATCATTTCGTACTTGATTTGGTTTAATGGATATGAACTTGGATTGCTTTTAGCATATCCTTGCTTAGCTATCTGAGACTTTAATTAAATACTATGCATTAGTTAAGCGGATGA